GTGGGGCTTCCAGTTTTCTCACAAGGCCATGGTACCCGGAAAGTAGATGCCATTGAACCTGATGTTAGCACCAGGCCAATAGCGGCTTTTCTGCCAGAACAGCAACCGGTAGTTTGCATTCGAGTACATCGTTCAGCGGCCTCGACTTGTCGCCTTTGCGCAGGAGAAGTTCCAGCGAGCGTGGACCTCCAGGCACACTCGACAAAGCACAAACGGAGCTGTTTTTGCCGAGTCCTCCCGCTTTGGTGCTCATATGGGCTGCTACAAGATCGAGCCTAAGACTTGGTGGCATCCGAATCCGACTCGGCATCCAAATTGACTCGAAAGTCATATCACTTGGTTTCCCCTGGTTTCAGTTTGGTCTCAGTTTCAGTTTCCAGTGAACATCGCTTTTTCTCCGATTTCGGCCACCCAAACTCTGAAACGAATTGGATGCAGGTAGCCTGCTGCAGGCTCTCTGACGTCTTGGATGCTTTGGGTCACAGGCTCAGCTTCGGTCGCAAAGGGACGAGGCTTGCCCCGTCTCCAAATACTCTTTTTTCAGGGTAGTTCAACCAGACAATTCTATGTGGAAACCATGTGTTTCAAATTTCGGACAAATGTTCAGAGGGAAACCAGCTTGTGTGTTCTCAAAATGTGCGTTGAGTCACAGGGCAAGGGATCAACGAACTGCTGCGCTTTCGATGAATTGCATACCCCCCTTCTCCAAGCACCTTCTTTATAAAGGTGAAACTAGAAAGGCCCAGTTTTCCATACTAGTGAGGAGTGGACATGATTTGCCATCACACCTTTACCCAGTAGATCCCAGGCAAGCCACTATAGGGGTATCCCTTCACCAAGGGAAGTCATTTGACCGCACTGCTAGGTGAGCCAAAGGTGTTCCTCAAGGTGGACGTGGAGGGTGCAGAGGTCCGCTCCTCCATGAGGGCCCACTAGGTTTCCTAGGTCTCAGGTGGACACCAAGTCTGTTTGGCCCGGAAAATTGCAACAGAGTCCCCTCGTCGGGGCTTTTCTCACGAGTCCCCTCCAAGCGGATTGAGTTCCCGTGCTGCATTGTGTCAACATCGCGTAGGTGGAGCTGCTCCGAGGCCTAGGGACACACTGGGCTTGGTGCCCTGGTGAGCTGGGGCTCGTGGATGTTTACAATTTTGCGTCCTTGGATGCAAAAAAGCGAAGGATCTCAGCCCAAAGCGAATCGACCTTTTAACCCTTTGGGTTTTCCAGGGTCTTCCCTTGGCGTCGATTTTCCCTTGGTCCCAAAAGCTGAACCTTTGTGACGGTTGGGTCCTTTCGGCTGAGCAAAACAGCGAGATAATATCTTCGCTATTGGTCACGTGCGTTCACCGATTCGTTTTGAAAAGGGGGTCGATCAGGGGGTGTGCTTCAGCGTGTGTTTTCTGTAAGGAGCTAGTGGTAACCACATGTACGAAAATCACCCAATCGAAGCATGTGGACCCCTACCAGCACCCCCCAACTACCTGCTTTCCGTGGATGGCACTTGGGGGTTAAGACAGACTACAATCCAAAGCGGGTCTCCTAGGTTTCGAAACAGCCATTTATTGAGATTCCGACTGCAAATTGGGTCTGCAAGGGGGGCAACCCTGGAGGGCGACGCCGGAATGGACGCTTTGGATTCAAGCGTGTGGAGTCTTCATGTTTTGATGACCATGCAGTCGACCTGGAGGGCGCATGAAGAATCGCGCTTTAGCCAAGTAAACGTCTTAGGGTTGAGCAACATTTGAACAACTAACCAACCCTAGTCCCCGTCTAAAGTGAAGCCAAAAAGAGGTTGTTTAAACAACAGGCTAAAGCAATGTTTAAACAAAGCGTTGCCCCAGCTCCCTGCATGTTGCCGGCTTTGCACATGTTGTGTTGACCCTGATGTGCATCTTTGTGTGCAACCTGTGAGAAGTGCACAGGAAGGCCCAAACAACTGGTGTTTCAGTTTGCTGTTTCGCAACCAGCCAACCAACCAACCAACGAGGTGCACCTAAGAACCCTGGGACCTCAAAAAAGAAAGGCCCCCTTAGCGGAGGTCCGAGGATGCGGATGTGTGTCAAAATATTTGGACACCACAAAAGAAGCTGGCGGTGTTCCTCTTGTGGTTTCTTTCCAAAGCAACAACAATGGCAAGGGCCGGCTTTGAGGCACACCCAGTGGAGGCGCCCTCCGAAACATCAGAAACACACGGACCACACCTCGAGGCCAGCGTGCAGGGTTTGGCGATGGAGGTATCTGCCAGTACCTTGGGAGAGGTGCTACAGCCCGGGGCCCCCGGGTCGCAGTTTTGGTTCTGAAGGAGTCAGAGGTGAACCGAAAAAAATCCCTGAAAGGAAGCCCTCTGCCTACTTGAACCCGCAAGGTTTGCATTCCAGAGAGCTGTGCTTGCCCATCTCCCAGGGCAGCACTTGGAATGTTGAACATGCCTACTACAGCGAGCACAGGGGTCTGCTGCCGCAAGCATGGAGCGCAAAACGGTGGGGGATCATTTCTTTTAGAAGCTCACATTTTCGTAGAGTGTAGCCTGTATCAGCAAAAACATGTCCCCGGCGGAGGGGAAGGGACCTTTTTTTGCTCTGGGGCTATTGGTATTAGTCCAAACCCCCTGGTGTCCAAAACGCCGTTGTGTGATCCGATCAGGTTCCGGTGGGCTTTTTATTCGTTCCGAGGCTGTGTGAGGAGAATGGCTTGGCCGCAGAGCACCTGAAGCAGCCCGGCCAAGTCCTCAGAAAGCTTCCCATGGGTTGCCCTTTCGCCTCCAGTTTGGGGAAGCCACATGCCCGTCCATATTTGGGAACATGTCGGAACTGGAGCTGATCTCTTGGGGTTTCCCTTTTTGGCAACTGGATTTTCAGTGGATCACCCAGTTCCCTTCGCTACTTGGGGCCTTTGCACGTGTCAAAGATTTGATGCCGTTGGGTTTCAGGCAAGACAGTCCGGGATACCTCGGCTTTCCAGAAAATCGTCAAGAACAGGGGCCGGGCATTTGGAGATTGCGCCTGGATGTTGGGGGTGGACCCCAGCATATCCCGGATTAATAAGCCATTTCTTCTAATAGCCCCCCAGTGATGAATTCCCACTAAAAGGGGACATTCCCTAGAAATTATTAATCTAGGATTGCCATTGTTGGATGCCAATGTTGAGTCACAAGTTTGGTTGTTGTATTGTTCGAGTCACGAGTTTTTACCTGTCCGACTTTGAGTCTTGAACCCAAGTGAGCTGTTTTAGCTTTAGGCGCTTCGCTTGCATAGAGCTTTGAACATCCCCCTTTGTTGCTTTCATAAAGGTTCAACTTACGGGCTCAATAACCCTTAAGGGGTTAGGTTGAATTTTGAAAACTGGTCAGACAATAAGCTCTGATTTTGCAACCACAGGGCGTTGTTTCTTTATCTGGCCCAGTGGATCCCAGATTCAGATGTTTCGCCACAAGAAGTACGTAACCCTAAAGGTTGTTTGCCATTTTTCTTGTAACAAGGGAGGTTCGGAATCTGTAGTAATGGAATCAAAGTCATTCCCCATCGAACTGGCAAGGTGCAGTGACACATCACTGAGGTTCAGGGCCTTCCGAGGCGCGGCATTTGTCGGCTCCCATGGGTTTCCCCACTCTCTCGAGCTTCTGGACTGGCGTCACGTTTGGGGTTTGGGGTTTGGACCATTTGGCACTCCCTCACAGTCTGGACTTTCAGCCTTTGGGTTTGGCGCGTTGCCAACCGTATATTTCTTTTATTAGTGTAATTTTTATTTTTGAGAGTTTTTTGGCTTTCTCTTTTACTTGTTCTTTCATGTCACACTTCTATCTTCTAAAAAACATTTGGTTGGATTGGAAGGATGAAATGATAGACGGGAAAGATAGGGAAGCTTGGGAATTAGAAGGGTTGGAATGGAGGGTTAGTGAACAGGATTCTATCTTCCTTGGCATGCCTTGTCTATTTAATTATTTCTTGTTAATCTTTTATTTTACCTTCAATCTTTTTATTTTTCTTTTATTAAGATTTGCTTTGTTTACAAGTCTTTATTATAAGCATTACATTAATTCTAAATTTGAAGATAATAAAAACAATAATGAAAGACTAAACTTGGCTCCAGTGTGCCTGTGGCCGGCGATCTGAGTTTCTCAAACGTTTTGGGGCTGGGAAAGCCCTTGAAACCACCAGGCTAACTTTTTGAGACATCGTGGAAGTAGCTAAGGCTTGGAAGGTTCTGGATTTCAGCATGCCCAACTTCATAGCCAAGTGCTGTGTTTGTTTGCCTTTGGGAGTTTCCTTTGATTTCCCGTTTGACCGGCAACAAGCTAACTTCATGCGGGTTTGGCTTGGTGGCCTAGCAATTGGCATATTGTTTCATCCCCAAAGCCACCAAGCCGACCCAGGTAACTCCAGACAAATGGGCCCTAATCTCAAAACACATGCTGTGTGCGTAGCATCCATAGACTGCTTCTAGCATTGCCTCAAGGCTGCCGGGCAGGAAGCAAACCACTTCTCAATTGGCCAGTGGGTGTTGTTTTGTTGGGCGCTTACGCATTCTCCTCAGCGGGTCTTCGGAGATCGGCTTTCCCTGCCAGGAGCTCTTTATGGTCTACGCCGCGCGCTTTTGAGTTCCCGAGCCTTGATTCGGCTTCTCGATTCGAATGCGGCGGTCAAAAGCGGCAAGTGGCAAGTGGAACCTACTGCAGAGCTAAGCGAGACGAGATCAGAGATCCATCGTCAAGCAAGCCTTGTTTAAACGCTCACCTGTTGAGTTCTGGACTTTGAAACAAGAAGTTTAGACTTGTTTGTTTGGGTTCCTCCTCTGAGGTGAGAAGAACCGATAGGACTCCTGATAGGACTATATCAAACCGAAGCGCCAGGAACCTGCCTCTCACTCCCAGTCGGAAGCCCAGTCAGTGTCACCTGGTTTTTCTGGAACTAGCCTTAGATGAACCAACCAAAAAACTGCGCCCTTGATCCCATGGCCACTGGGCCTCTGAGTCAAGAGGGAAACAATCAGAGCGAACCATGCAGGACCATCTTCTTCTTCCATCTCCGTATCATTCGGAATCCAGGCAGGGAGTCGCGTCAGTTGGCAGCACAGCATTCGAGTTGTTCGCAGTAGCTGAGGGGAACGGGGGTTATCATCTTGTGGGAAGCCAAAGGGAGTTGTACACATGGTGGTTGGCCATGTTTGAGGGCTCCCTAATTCATTTCTCCCTGCCGAACTGAAAGGAGACGCTCGTGTTGGCCCAAAAGGTGGTGTTAGAAGCCACCCGAAACTGTTCATGAGAAATAAGTTTCCCATGGTGAGCGAATACCTTCTTTTGGTCAAGGCTTGACCAAGTAGGATAGGGAGCCTTGCCGTCCGAGGTGCAGCCCGATAGGGCTCCTCGTGTTTGTGGGCTTTGGCGCCTGCCTTAGGGCAACCCGGGCAATCAGAATGCAGATGGACCAAATAAGGATTTGTTCATAGGTGTCCTGTTGGTATCCCTGAGAATGTTTAAAACCACCCCAAAGAGAGGATAGCCTTTAAGAAACAGCATTACTGTGGAGGGGCAAAATCCGTCGTGGCAGTTGAGATGCATGCAACCCAAATTGAATTCTGGTTGAAAACCACCAACTGGTGTGTGTGGCGCGGATTTTTTGTCCATCCAATAGGCCTTTTTTGGGTGGCATTTGCCCAAAGGGGGCCACCACAGTTTGGACGACGTCCCTTGCTTAAAGCGGCTCACCACGTGGTAAATTTTGCCCATTTGCCCACTTTCTGCACCAAGGTAACCCCCTTCCAAGTGAGAAAGTAGTGATGGCAATGACCCTCACAGTATCACAAGGTGATTTCACCCGCAACCGTTTGGTAAAAAGTTACTTTTCTTCCCATCGCACACCTCACAGAGGGTGCCTTTTCGAGCAAATGGATTTTGCAGGTATCCCACAGGTGCTGTGGTGGGAGTCACGTTGACTTTTGCTTTGAGGCTCTTTGGTTGCAAATGCTTTTGAGCGACTGGAACTCCTTGAAATGCTTTTGAGCTCTCCTGGGCATGAGGCCTTTGCGCATTGAAATGTTGCGGTGAAGAGCGCTACAAGGATTCCCAGGCGGGGCCTTTCATATCGGACAGAATATATATATATATATATATATATGCCTGCAATGTAATCGCTATGACGTTATTGAGTGGCTTGCAACCACTGCAGAAACAGAAGAGCTGGCAATTGTTGTTTTCTTGGATTAATCATTTGCGCATAATCTTGTTTGGTGCCAGAAATCACCCCAGCGAGATTCATGAACGATGGTTTGTGACCGTCGAGCCTCGTCTTAGCACATTAAGTGCATGCAAAGAAACATGTGTGATGCTCCCCCCACTCCAAGCACCTGCTTTTTGCTGAGCATGATATAAACTTAAACCCCCAGACTCAACGAGGAGTTATGTATTGTTTGTTCAACTGTTTTTTGAATATTATATGCTCGGCCCTGAAAAACACAAACACCAAACAACAAACAAACAAAAATGCAAACAAACACAAGGTAGTTCAAGGCGGGGACAAGCCGATTCCCATTGACGAGGTAATCCCATCCATCATTATCCTGTTTCTTTTTTATTATTTTAATTCTCTTTTTAGTCGTTACAACGTGAAGGATTCTGATGGACAAGGCAATTATACTAAAGAAGATTCCAAATGAAAAAGAAAGGGATGATGGAGTTATGACGACAGAATGAAACCAAGAGATAGACCGTAAGCCAAGAGATTCACCCGGCACCATTCCATCCTTATTAATCCCAACCTTAACAGCGAGGCGTGACCGAGGGAAAGCCATACTGAAATGGTTCAAGAGTTCAAGTCGTCTTTCAGTTTCAAGTCAGGAAACAGCCGTAGCCCTTTCTCGGCTCTCCAGCTAAATGGGTATGTGGACCCCTAAAATGCGGGGGGGGGGGGGGTCGGGTTTTCCTTTCAATCTGAAAACGGGAATCAAAGCGCACGCGCACATAGACACACCCATATCAGGCTAAACATTACTTCTGGCTTGGAGCTAGGCATAGACCCATCGGCTACATGACAGTCCAATGACAGATGGACCTCGGTGTCATGCTTTTGTTCTTGAAGGAGCCCTGTTTGACCCTTCGGTCATTTGTACATAGTATATAGATCTGTGAAGTTCCCCAAAGCGGCTTTCCTTTACAACTCTTAGCAAGCTGTCCCTAAGTTGGGAAGCGGTCGCCAGGTCCTGTTGCAACCGCTATCTCCGAATTCCCACTCATAAATTCGGTCATGTGTTACCGCCCTGCGTGAATAGTCGGTGGCTGTGTTCAACTTTTGGGAAATACTAAACTTATGGCAAAGATCAAGTTCAACCTCCACTTTCAGGGGTTCTGGCTCAGTTCTCTTTCTCTTGGGTTGTTTCGGCGCCTTTTGGCCAATCGGTGTCTTTGTTTAGGAGCCCGTGCGGATGTCTGACAATGTCTCCCTGTCTCCCCTTTCCTGCGGATTGCCCTGAGGTCTCGTCCGTTTTTCTGTTCTTATTCTTGTATATCCG